GTCGCGCGCGTCGTGTGTGTGTGTAGTGTGTGTGTGTGTGTGTGTGTGTGTGTGTGTGTGTGTGTGTGTGTGTGTGTGTGTGTGTGTGTGTGTGTGTGTGTGTGTGTGTGTGTGGAGCGTCATGTGTATGTATGTAAATAACGTAATAACGATATGTATACAATGTACAGTATCAACATTGTAAAATATTATTAAAAATCTCGATGTAACGATAAAGGACATAAGTTTGCGATATGTATGTATTGTAATATCGCAAGAAGCAAAGTACAAAACGATTATCAGTTATGAGTTATTCACTATCTATTTTTGTCATTGTATAATCCGCGGACCAAAGCGTCATGGGGTAACGTATAATATTGCTGACATTGAAATATGCTTCCTGACATGAGGATGTATTGATAATGAAAAATAAAGAATTATATATTGGCCAAGAACTGCTTTTCTTTTTCATGACAAAAATGGCTTTTCATGTTAGAGGTGATGACAATCGCGCGTGCGCGTTAATCGTAATGTAATTTTAAATAATGTGCACACATTTACACTACAAGATTTCCATGGTAACAATGGCAAACAAAACGCGAGAATCGTACGAGCCGACAATGAATAAATATCTTTCACCAGTCATTATCATCTTGAGTAACTAATTAACCTGTGCAACACAGTCATGAAAATTAATATGTACATATTTTTGAAATGTGAAAAATTACAGCTGACAGTTTCTTAATAAAGTAATAGATTACATGTGTGATTTAGATCCATTTTTATGAAGCCATTTTTATCATAAAGGTATACGAGTTATACAGCGTAAGGTGATATATTGTCAGTGACAATCTAAATAAATAGGTATGGATGATGTTACGTATGATGAAACAAAAAGTAAGACTGTATCTCTGCCTGCCGATGCGCTTAAAATGCCATCGTGGCTGGTAGAAATGACTGAGTATGTAACATTATTTTCATTTTCATGTCTTTAAGAAAATGTTTAAGTATGTGATATTATCTTTTATTTTCCATTTCTGTTTTATTCATATATATATATATATATAGATATACACTCTGTTATTCTTTTAGCAACATAGAAAAACTGAATATAAATAATGATGTCAAATTGTTACAAATGGAAACATTTTTAATTGATAATAAGCATCGTTTAGAGAATATCACTTTCAAAGAAGAGGATGACACGTAAGATAAGAAATATATAGCATTTTTTCAAAATGTGTAGAATAATACTTTGTTTCGACATTTATTTTATAGTACTCAACCTAGTACGAGCTTAAGTGATCTTTACATCGATGCCAGTATTAAATTGCAAGCATCCGCAAGCAAATCACTGCCAAATACACCAAAGAACGAACCTGTTCAACTTAAACGAAGAAGAATACGTGCCTGTTCTGCCATTGTGAATGCAAAACATCGTACACAGAATGATTATAATGGATTGGATGCATATTTAGAAAGAAAACAGATGGAAAAACACGACAATAGCCTAACACACTCTATAAATTATAGCGATAATAAAACTTATGACAAGGAATCTTATTTTAAATATTTTACAAATGTTGAGAATGATGTAGATGTACGATTACATTTATCAGATAATCCAGATGATTGTTCCAGTATATCATTTAGTACACAAAACGAAGGAAAGCCGGAATTGTTATCCGATCAAGAAACTGTTAAATCTTTTATCTTGCATGAAGACGATTTTGCCAAATGTTTAAATCATTTGTCAAATAATTATTTGCCAGCAGGTTGATATTTTATTTTCGGAATTTCGAAATTTTATATATACATATCGCTTATTTGCTTATACAACAGCATATCTCATAAAAACAAAGTTTTCTAAGAAATGAATCCGAATATTTTAAATCATTAAGATTTTGTAATATTATTTTTGAATGCAATTTTAGTATAATAACCAATTGGAATGAAAGTATTATTAGTTTTTATTCAATGCATTGAAATCTTACCTTATTATAAAAGTGAACCCTTTCAAAAACAACTCTTTTTGACTTGTAATACTTTTGATATTGAAAATTAGAAGTTTTACAAGCAAGTTTTGAAAACTTAATCATGTTGTTCTATCAATAATAACTCTAAAAATTCGCTTTTTTTGCGAATAGCTCAGAAATGAATTTTTTATTATGGTCATTATATGAGTGATATATGCACTTACATATACTATTTTATATATATAGAAAGCGCGCGCACGCTTATATATTATATATATTACACAGAATGTCAACATGTTGCCTGCCCAGCGAATCTCGTACGTCTTATCGCGTTTTTACCTCTGTTATTGAAGATGACTCGGAATTGAGACACAATCGTCAGTTATCATTGTAGCAATCAACATGTAGATATATTTGCATTTTTTAAAATGCACTATGAAATAATTTAATTTATATTATTTTCAGATCAACTCTGCAAAAACTTTATTATTCCTGAACTACCATCCGGAGACTCGTTGGTCATTGATATTCTTTCCACTTGGGGCGACAAGCATTACGTAGGCCTCAATGGCATTGAAATTTTTTCAAATACTGGAGAACCAGCTAGAATAAAGAAGATACATGCACATACGACAACCATTAATCAATCAGTAGATGATGATCATCCTTATGTTATAAATAACTTAATTAATGGTATTAATCGAACAAGAGATGATGCGAATTTATGGCTAACACCTTATTCAAATGGTGACCATCATTACGTTTACATAATATTTGAATTCACGATTACTATAGCAATGATCAGGATATGGGTAGGATTCTTTATGATAATCATAAACTCTATAGACGTAGAGATGTGCCTGCGTATGCAAAAGTACATTTTATTTGAGATTACTGTTCTTCTGAAATTATTTCCAGAACTACAATAAATCTAGAATACATTCCTTTAGAGGAGCCAAAGACGTTATTATTAAACTGAACGATATTGTAATCTTTTACGGAGAAATTGCTAAAGCTTCGGGAGATGATATAGGTAGCCTCGATTCTTTTGGCGATGTAAGAAATTTTATCAAATAATTTCCACATTCAAATTAAATAGTTAATTTTACGATAGCTCCTATATTATTAGAAATGTTAACACATATATGTACAATTATATATTAATGTGTTTATTTTTTACTTTAATCTTTTTTTTCGTCACATATCTATATAATATGAATTTTGAAATTAACTTTATACATAATACATAAAAATATTGGCTGATGTAGACTATATTATTTACGACGGATGAAAATATTCTGGAACTGATATCAAAACATGATAATACGTTCATAGAATTCAATAATGGGATATCAGATTACGAAGAGAAAGAAATAATCCGCCCGATAACAGCGACAATCGGCAATGATGTAAGAGAGTTAATTGCATCGATGCATTCGTTGAAAAAGGATAATGCACGTGTAATAAGATTGAAAGATGAATTCTTTTAGATCACTTCAGCGAGACATAAAAATAATGATGCTATCCAGAGCTCTCCTAACTTATCTCTTCGTCTCAATAGCAAAATGCACGATAGTTGTACCGCTCTGTCTTGCAGAGAGATTCAGCTAATTATAATTTCTAATTGGGGTTTACAGCATTTGATTGGTAAATCAAGTAAATCAAGTAAAAGCATGGCATTATATCAGTGTCGTGCCACGCGTCATTCGAATTTGTCTCGTAGGTCTTACAGGTATTGAATTAATTGGGGATCAAGGCGTTGCAGTGCCATTAGTAAATGCCACCTTACATTGCGATGTGAATGATACACATTTAACGAGACTGATCGACGGACATAATGTTACGACCGAGATGGATCATATGTGGCTGGCAGATGTAACGCCAAATAAAAGGATTACTATAACTCTTACTTTCGATACGGATATATATCCAACAGGAATGCGCATTTGGAATTACAATGCATCCTTGGAATTATCTTATTGCGGGGTAAGACATGTACATTGGTATAATTTTTGATTGCAACAGCTAATTACAGTTTCGACATTTTTACAAATATAGGTGAAACAGTTATTAATCAAATTAGACGGTAAATCATTACATGAGGAGAATTCCGATGGCTTCTTATTGAGACGCGCGCCGGGATCTTGCCATTATGACTTTGTCCAAGAAATTAATTTCCTTCATAGTAATCTACCCACTCAAGAATATTTTTCGGATCGTATCAACGATTCGATTAAATCGTCTGAAGGTATTTGTCATTAGAATGAGCCTGGAAACAAGACAAAGAAATTCTTACGGCAAAAATATCATTATTTTTAGAATTCGTGTCTTTGGATTCAAACTACGAAGCACCAACGATGCCGCAAGGATTCGTTTATCAAATAATTATTTTCTCCACATGGGGTGACTCTTATTACGTTGGTCTTAATGGAATACAAATATATGATAATTATGGAAATGAAATCAAATTAACTACAGATAGTATGTTCAATTTAGATCTGCGATAGAGAATATGATATTACAAATTTTAATTTTACATTGATCCTTCTCTGAGAGAAAAAGAAAAAAAAGATTAAGAAATTTATAATTATTCACGTTTACGTCGCAATCCTGATTAATATTGATTATATTTTAATAGATATAGCTGCATTTCCTGAAAGCGTTAATATAATAGAAGGAATAGATAATGACATTCGTACACCAGACAAACTTATCGATGGAATAAATAACACTCAGGATGGACGACATGCCTGGCTAGCTCCTATACTTCCTGGACAAGTAAGCGAAAGTAAATTATATATGTGTCTGTGCGTATCTATATATGTGATTGGATGTGACTGTTGATTGTTCTTTATTTAATATTTATAATGTATTCCTCAGACAAATCGTGTGTATCTGATATTTTATCATCCCATTACGGTATCAATGATCAAAATCTGGAATTATGGGAAAACACCACAAAGGAGAGTCAAAGAATTTGCAGTAAGATATAAAATTGCATTAGTACAAATATATTCATCGAAATTAATCTGATCTGTCAATTGTCAACTAAAAATATTTTTGTATCTTATAGATATTGGTAGACGACTTGTTAGTTTACAATGGAACATTGGACAAGCACAATTCATACGGATTGGTGACTTTTGTAAAGGAAAACACTAATGACGAGAATTTAGTGAATCGGTAAGTCACAAGAATAAGGCTAATAAAAATGAAAAACAGTTTATGTATGTATCATTATAACTGTATTATATAATTATAGTTCGGAGCAGGAGAGTCGCCTTTTAAACTTACGAAGAAATACCTCAGGAACTAATTCATTACCAGACCCATCTCTTCGTCCACATACATCTTTACAATTTAATAATCTCTCGTCATGGTACAAATATTTTTAATATATATATATATATATATATATATATATATATATATATATATATATATATGTACATTAAAATTGTGTGCATATATTTTTATACATATATCAAAATTTTTTCATTTTCATATTCATTACTGTTTCGTTTAAATAATTAATTACTATATTAGTATACACACACATACATACATGTCTACATATGAACATGCACACATATGTATATACATATACATGTGTATGTACATATATGTGCATGTTCATATGCAGACATGTGTCTTAATGTCTATATTCACATATCTGGTGTCATATACTCTTGCAATAGCCATCTCATACGCGAATATTAGATATCCTGTTTATCTCAGATTTTCTCAGAAAAAATAAAAATAATTGTAATATAAAGATTATAAGTGTTTTTAATTTAAGATCGCAAGAATGAATAAAGAGAAAGATGTATACATCAAAAAATGTCATTTGCTTTCGTTACATCAACTCTTTATTATGCGAATTGTCATGTCAATGCTTTATTACATGAATTGTCTAATGAACTATATAATACACAGGAGAATTGCATGTCATGGAGAATATTTTATTTCCTGTGCTTGAAAGATATGTTCATTCACAAAGATATAAACCATGATCTCTTTGTTTCTGTTAATATAGAAATATCTACTTGGTCTTTATTTTCTCGAGATCTACGTTTTCTTGATGATGATTATTTCAGACATCCCATATTAGATACTATTTGCGCACTTCTTCCACTTATTGACAATATATCCTGTTAAAAAAAGAACGTTGCATATCGCAAATCTTCATTTTTTTAAACAGTAATTAAGTATTTTCTTTACATCAATTGATTCATCTTATTATTTTGTGCATAAAAGTATTAAGATATAATTGCCAAAAAGTAAATTACAATGAACATTAGGATGATACCATTAATTTGATCTTGGGTGGTTCCAAGGTCATATAAAGATCAACTTTTTTTTATTGGAAATCCCCATTTCTTATTACATTGTTGTAACTGATCCCGACAGCTCTTCAAAACACTATAATAAAGTATTTTTTTAGTAAATACTTTTTACTATTTTTTTTAAGTAAATACTTTTTACTTTTTTACATAGGTATCCCCCTCGAAGTCATAAAATTTTTGTCTAAAACATTTTCCCATATCTTTTATATTTTACGAGATATCTCGATGCGACAGTTAAAATTTAAGTTTAAAATTACACAAAGA